ATGCCGACCCGGATCGAACTGACCCGAGTTTTCTGGGACGTCGGGAAAAAAAAAAAAATTACCGGGGATTAACCGAGATGAAACCTTTCTCTTCGAGGAGGTGAGAAAATGCGCACAGGGGAAAAACGATGGCCTAGCTTTCACTCATTTACGGCTTTAATGGGCTCATTCATAAGGATCATCCACGAGGATCATCCATAAATAAAGAAAATACCATGTCATGCATTCATGCCTTCGCGGTGCTAAGTGCTGCATTAATGTACTCAATGCTGCATTAATGCACTCAGTGGACGGCCATGTAGCCCTGGTCGGTGTTCGTGACGCAAAGTACCATATCCTGGTACGGAGGCAATGATGTGTGGATGTGGTAATCTAGAGAGAGAGAGAAAAAAAAGGAGAGGAATAACCTGAGTAACGGGACCGTCGGGGAGTTCACGTTTCCGAGCCCTAATAACATCGGAGTGCGGTGCAATTATCCTCCGGCCACCGAAAAAAAAAAGGATCGTATTATTGGTGGCCGTAAAATAGCATACTGGTTTTTATTCTGGTTTCGATGAGGCTTCTAATTTATAAGTGATGTTTATTTATGTCGCCTGCTTTTAATTAGTCGTCTTTTTAATGCGAGGGGGAAAAAGAGTTTCTCACGTTTTGAAATTGGCAGACAAAAACGAGCAGGAACCGTTTGGCTTAAAAATCTGCTCGCGAAAGTCTGCAAGCGCAGAAATGAGTATAGACCGAAATAGGCCCTCATGGGAACCTCAAGGGCCTGTTAGAAGGCCCTCGACTTTCCCAATTACGGAAATGCCGAGTTGTGCTAGAAAATAAGCAGACGATTTGAGGGAAAAAGTTGTCGAGATCGATCATGCTAGTGATGGGATCGAGATCGATCACCCGGATGCTCCCCGGCCCCGACCGCATCGCTGAAGGGGATACGAAGGTGTCATCCACCGGGGACGGGGGAAGGGGGGGGGGGACCGGAAGCCTTGATCCCGTTACAGTGCCAGACGAGATACCGCAAATATATCCTTCATTATACCCGGATGTGGATCATTACTTTTTCCTCACCGTGCGAACCTTTCCCAACTTTTTTTCTTGCTTTAGTCAAATGGCGGCGACGTTCGCTTTCAAGGTCAATCTAGCGGGACTGGAATGGAAATTTTCCGGCATCTCGGGGACGATTAGGGACCCTGGAAAGTCGAGCGGCAATCGCTTTTCTTCCTTCCCAGGCGCTTTCTCCATTTCGTCGTCTCGCGTCCACCATATTTTAACTTGCAGCCGTTGCAGCTTTTGCTTTTCTTCGAAAGGAGTTGATCCGTTTTTTGTTGACCCAGTTCCCTCATCCGGTTAAATATGGATGGGATGCTTTTCCGGTGTCTCCAAAGATCACCGTGTAGAGATGCCCCAATTGTGGTTTCTTGACACCTTTTCTCGCCTTTCCGGTTCGCCGGAAAAACTCCAGCCTCCGTCTCTGACCCCGATTATTTTTTTCTCTCCCCCTTTTATTTGTATTGCCGTGTGGGTGGGGTCTATTTCCTGCGGTTATACGCCCAGTGCCTCCCCCCATTCACGGGGCTTCACGTTCAAATTCGTGGGAGTTCAACCGATTGATGAACAGGAAAAAAGTTATTAGGCCACATTTTATTACAGGTTTGACTAAAATGTTTGGAGAAATCCTGTAATTTTTGGAGGTGTCTCGCGCATCACAGCCAACTCCACCGACCTCAAGTTACACATTTGCTGTTTTATATTACGTTTAATATTTTATATCTTATTTCATGTTTAAGATTATATTTCAAAGTTTGACCGTAGACGGTTCTCCCGCGAGCGAGTTCATCGCGTTGGATTCTTTTCTTGCCCCCCCTCCCCCCTCAGCCAAGAGATAGGAATGCACCACGGGGACGGTGTCGTGTTTTGCATCGTGACCCAGATAGCGAGGAGGAGAGTCCGGAAATGGATGCCCCATGGCCATCCGCGCCGTGGATGCTTCACTGGCCATGTGTCACACTTCAACTATTCCAACCATCCTTGCGTTCGGCATTGCGTCCGTTTTCGACTATTCTGACCATCCTCGCGTCCGGCATTACGTCCGTTTTCGCCTGTTCCGACCATCCTCGGGTCCGGCATTGCGTCTGTTCGGACGGCCTCGGAATTCGTCTGTTAGGACGAATTCCATATCGAGGGATTCTTCACATATGTTAACTCGCCTCTTGTTATTTTGTTTATGTGCCTTGTGCAAATATTTTATCCGGTTCGCTCCCAACCGCTCCATTTTGAAAAGTTACTCTTGGAAATTTCCAACGAGTTATTCCGAATATACCAAAGTTTCTATTTTAGCCGACAGAAGCAACAGGGACGCGTATCGAAGGAGCCGAGAAAGAAAAATCTTCCCGAGTTACCATCTCCCCCATCTCGGCGACCAAATGAACAATTACCTTTATGCCTCTGATAGCGGGCCGTATTAAAAAAAAGAAAAAAAAAAGCGGGACGAGAAGGAAGAGGAAGGAGGAGAGGCTTGGCTTGTTCCATAGCCCCTGGGCCTAACGTAGCTGTCTTGGCCCGGCAAGTATGCATTCCATTGACCGAATAAATGCAGTCTCTCTCTCTGTCCACCTCTGTCCATCAACGGGGCCTTTTGCATATGATGGCCTTTTGACCTCCCGGCTCTTTCGGGTTCCCCATTCGAAAACAATGTGGGATGGGAATCAGGCTGTGAAGACTTTCTCTGGAGGCTTTGAGGTTCCCCGTTTTTGTGCGACTGTTCGCTGGCAATCGTGGGAAACGGTGCACGATGTGAAGAGTCGACTCGGGTCGGCCGTGCGGCAAAGCGTCTCGTGACGTCGGCGTCTGCTACGTCGAGATCGCGTGACGCGGGCGAGGGTGTCTGCTACCCTTTCGGCTTTTGCGGTTCGTCGTAAAGAATGAACTTGAATCCACCGGACGGTTATGAGAATGAATGAGGAAAGGGGTGGGAAAACAGCGACCCCACTTCTCATTGATAAGAAAAAAAGCTCCGTTTGCCCGCAGTCTGTTATGAGACGTGGTCCATTGAACAAACGCCTATCTCTTGAGCTCATCTAAAGACAGGCATCTTCTCCATTGAGAGAAATCTTTCCTCACTGACCCAGAGAGAGATGACTCTGTTCATTCAGCCGGAACCTTTTTTTTCAGCGCGATGTTGCCGCGTGTTCCTCCTGCTTTTATTCGGCCACTCCTTCATTCTTCTCGTTTTCTGTAGCTAGCGCCTGGCCCAAGGGCTGCCACACCGTTATAATGGACATCCGACGTCCTCCCAACTTTGACCGGATCTAGATTCCGCGGTCCACTGCCCGGCGTCTCCACGGGCGAGATCCGGATGGACGGGAGATACGGGATCCTTTCGCGGATCGCGTCGCTGCGCGGATCGACACCGTCGGAGCTCGCATCCGCCGCCGCGAACCCCCTCGCGAATTCAAAGACCGCCGCGAATCGGATGTCAGAAATGCGAGTACCCAGATGCCAGAGGGGGAGAGAATGATTCCGATGAAAACAATGTCGGCGGCTGTGTTTTCCTCGCTTGTTTTCTCCACGGGGGAAGTGGGCCAACTGGGAAGAATTTTTTTTTTATTTTAACTGGAAGGAAAATGCTGAGAGATTGATGAAGGCAGCCTCGGGGGACCATCCCCGCCCACTCCATCTCGTCACCAAGCTTTTTCATATATATTTATTTATTTATTATATTTATTTTTTAATTTTTCATCCTAATTGGTGTCCGGGCTCGTCGGATGTGTGGGAAGAGCGACGCTAAATATTGTTATGAAGGGTCAACCATGAAGAATCAGTGATAACGCGAAATGGTAATGCTGTGTAAAAACTGCAGTTTTAACGGTAAAATTTATTTATGAAAAAAAAGGGTTCGAAAAGAATGCAAAGATATACGAAAAAAGTGGTAAAGAAAGTGTTTAATAAGGAAAATAAATAAGAACTTGAAACTTTACCATCACAAAAAATCTGTCGAAGAAGAGAGATAAATTTATGTTAAAAGAAAAAAAAAGGAAATACCGGTGGGAATCTCCGATTGATCGATGGCCGTCCCGAATCCACAATCTGTCAGCAGCCGTTCGGGGCGAAAGAAATCGGGTCAAGAAAACAGGATGAGGAAACAGCGACTGGTTTCTGTATTTTTTTTTTTTTAAATGGTGGAAAGAGGAACCTGAACCCCCGTTAAATTTTTTTTTTCGTTGCCCTCGAAAAAAGGTGGCCTCCGGGTCAGGATGAGAATTATTAATGTCAACAGAAACAAAAAAAGGAGGATGGAGCGTATCGAAAGGCCCAGGTCGTGTCGACGCGGGGGGTCTTTCCCGCCAAATATAGACCCCCTTCAAATCCGTGAAAGGGTTGAAAAATTTTCGCCAGGGGCCTCCTGCCTTCCTGTTTACGTAAACACCGATTTTTTTTCTCTTGCCCTCGATGATCTCTTGTTACAGGCTGATAGAGAGATAACAGGGCAAATTAGCCCCGGGGCGAATTTCGGGGCAAATTCATGAGAACAACAACCGAAATGAGGACAACCGGAAGGGAATTACTTATTTTGGAGGGAAAACCAATGTAATTGCGCGAACTTTGAAGCAGATGTCCCGAATTCCTTCAGTTCGATCGTCAAGATCCGTCGTGAAAAGTTATAATAAATAAGTTAGTAAATTGATGTTAATCGAATGGTACCGCGACTTTTCACGATGAGAAGTAAATGAACACATGATAAATTAAATGAATAAAAATGAGAATAAGTAAATACAATGTATCCGGTCGCGCGAAAAGCACTTCATGTCATCGCATCTATAAATGGCATCTATAAATGGCATCTATTAACGACGACCCGAAAGATAATATCGATGCCGGACAAGGAGCGACGCCCACGCAAGAAACGAGTCGAAAACGAGTTCGAAGCGACATTTTCCCCCGTCCATGCCACTCGACTTTTTAATTAGAGCACGCGAAATCACGAATCCATGAAATTGGAACGCATGGCATCCGTCCGACCCCTTCCAACTTGTGAAGGAAAAAAAGTTCCACGTGCTTGAACTCGGCCTCGAAAGTCGCCTCGACGGCCTCGAAGGACTCGAACGTGCCTAAAAAAAAAAGTTTCCAAGGAATTTCTAGGAAGGGAAACGGCGATAAAGCGGCGATAAAGCGGTGATAAAAAGTAGGTCAAGGAAGAGAGGTGTAGGTTCCCGTTATGATGATGATGACATAATGAGACTCGAAGCCGCCCCTGACGAGGCGCATTCCATCCAATCCGGAGCAAGTCTTCCCTCCAAGTCCTCCATTCCCTCCAAGTCTTCCCTCTGCCGTTTTCCCACGACTGCTTTTTCAAACAATCGTGGCCTCGGGGCTGAGAAGTCGGTCGACCCACCTTAAAAGGTGTTTGCCGCGCTTTATATTCGGCCTTTCGTGCTTTCGAGTTCTTCTCACTTCCTCGCGATATTTATTCTGCGAAAAAAAAAAATTGGAAACTCATCGACCTTCCCCCGTTCCGCACTCACAGCTGACCCATGCGAAAGACGGTGACGAGGAGGTTGCCGTGGTGGAGGGAGTCCCGGTGGAAGAAGTGCCGAAGCCGAGCCAACAGGTGGCCCAGGACCGAGACGACCACGGAGGCCACCACCACCACGGAATCCCCGACCAACTGGCTCAAGAGGACCACCACGGTGGGCCTCCCGTGAAAGTCCCCGCACCTCAGGGCTACGGCGCCCCACCCATCTCCGGCTACGCTCCACCCCGACAAGCCCCGCGACCGGTCCCGATCCCGGTCCCTCTCCCCGTTCCCGTGAGCCCCGCCACGATCGTCTTACCTCAACTCCCTCAGAAGAAGCGAAAGAAGCCCGGACCCGTCTACCGCCCCCCCACCCCCTCCCCCCGGGAAGATCCAGGGCGCATACAGCATACCTCAACCCTCCATCCACCCCCGACCAAACTTCGGCGGTGACTTCGGCGGTGACGACTTCGACTTCGACTTCGGCGGCGGCGGCGGTTACGAAGTGCCCCACCTCGGTGGAGGCGGCCCACCCCCACCCCTCCCCCCACCACCCAAAGGACTCGGCGGACCCCCACCCGGCTACTTCGGCGGTCCTCCCCCGCCCCCCATCCACGGCGGCCTCCCACCCCCACCCCCCGGCCACGGCCACGGCGGCCACGGCGGCCCCCCGCTTCTCCCCCACCCACGACCCGATGCCTTCCCCGGGCCCCAGCCGGGACCTGCAGATCCCTGGCCGCTCGCCCAACCGGAGATGCCAAAGATCGTCGCACTGGACGTGAAATGCGAGAAGAACTTGATGAAAGTCTCCATCCAGTTCGACAAACCTTTCCACGGCATCATTTTCAGCAAGGTGAGATTTTTTTTCTCGTGTGACGCGGGATTCCTTCGCATGTGAAATCTACCCGCCCGCGGGGAAATCAAAACGAGAACTCATTTCCGCTTCTCGTCAGGTCGAGAAAATTCACGAGAATTGTGAGGAAATAGCGGGACGCGGGAAATTCCTCGCGATTTCCCTCGCAATTTTTCCCCAATTTTTTTTTAAACTCCCCATTTTTTTCAGGGTCATTATTCCAACGTGAACTGCGTGCACCTGCCGGCCGGGCTCGGCCGGACGTCGGCCCACTTCGACATCTCCATCAACGCCTGCGGGACGTCCGGGAACACCCAGAACGGCCTCTACGGCTACGGCACCCAGTCCGGGGCCGGGACCTACTTCGAGAACACCATCGTCATCCAATACGATCCCCAGGTCGGTTATCAAGTGCTAAATATAAATGGGGAAAATTATATATAAATGGAAATGTATAAATGAATAGCATGGAAATTAATAACGTATAAATGAGGAAACCTAAAGTATAAATAGGATAAAAGAAAAATAGGGAGAAAATCCTATGCATATGAATTTTAAAAATCTCATGTAAATTAATAAAAGCCTTGAGAATTTTTAAATACCGTGTGAATGATTAAAAACCATGCGAATGATTAAAAGCCATGCGAATGATTAAAAGCCATGTGAATGATTAAAAGCCATGTGAATTTTAAAAAATCCCATGTGAACGAATAAAAGCCTTGTGAATATTAAAATATGAATGTGAAACCCAGGTGCAAGAAGTGTGGGACCAGGCTAGGAAGCTGCGTTGCACGTGGCACGACCAATACGAGAAGGCGGTCACCTTCCGGCCCTTCCCCGTCGACATGCTCGAGATCGTCCGGGCCGACTTCGCCGGCGACAACGTGGGCTGCTGGATGCAGATCCAAGTCGGCAAAGGTCTGTGTCCTCGGTCCCTTATGAGTACTTATAGGAGTACTTATGCGTGGTGATAGTGAAGATCGTACAAAAACGTATGAAATAATAATGATACATTTTTATTTTTGCTTCACGGTTTCAAATTGATAATGAATAAGGAAACATGGAATCAGGCGTGATATTTGAAACATGGAATTATTTTATTGAATTTCTGACAGCTTCAAAATCTTACGTGACCTGCATTCGGGTCGGTACGTGATTGCCGTGTAAATCGCGTGCATTTGGCTTTCCGATCCATTTTCGAACACCCTCGTGCGAATTAGGTCGTTCCACATGGAACGCGGTTGGAACGCGGTTGGAACGCGGATGGAACGCGGACGTTTCACGCGACGTTTTCGCCTTCAGGTCCGTGGGCGTCCGAGGTGTCGGGCCTGGTGAAGATCGGCCAGACGATGACCATGGTCCTGGCCATCAAGGACGACGACAACAAGTTCGACATGCTGGTGAGGAACTGCATGGCCCACGACGGGAAGCGGGCACCCATCCAGCTGGTGGACCAGCGAGGATGCGTCACGCGTCCCAAGCTCATGTCCCGGTTCACGAAGATCAAGAACTTCGGGGCCTCTGCGTCCGTCCTCTCCTATGCCCACTTCCAGGTAACTTATTTATATATATTTAAATTTATTAGCCTATTTAAAAAAAAAGGTCTCTTAAAAAAAAAGTTGCTACAGGTCATCTTTACTATGTAAAATATATATATACATGTCGAGTCTCATTTTACGATTATACTCTGTGTCACCTCTTAAAAGGTCACTATGGGAACCGGTTTTCGTTTTCATCAACGAGAAACAGGTTAAACTCGGTTTTTACAGATATTTTCATTTTTATGTTCCTTAACTCATGAGATACTTTTGTCGATACCGCTCGTCGATCGTCGACCGAGAGGTCACGTTGCCGGACGAAATTCCGCGACGTCGCGAAGCGATTGCTTGATTCGAGTGATTGCTTGGATTTGCGCCAATGTTATCATCGCGGAGCCGCCTTCAGGTATCAACCGCCTTCTCCCTCTCTCCACCAGGCGTTCAAGTTCCCCGACTCGATGGAGGTGCACTTCCAGTGCACGATCCAAATCTGCCGGTACCAGTGCCCCGAGCAGTGCGCGGGACCCGGCGGCGGCGGATACGGCGGACGCGTGAACAACGGTGGCGGCGGCGGTGGAGGCGGCGACTACGACTTCGCAGCGAGCGAGCCCAAGCCTTCCCTCGCGGAGCCTCCCTCGAAGGGACCCGGTGCACCGGCCCGCCCGAGGGACGAGAAGGCGTCTCGAGTGAGGAGGGACACCTCGGACGCCGACGACGACCTGGGCCAGAGCGCGAAGGAGATCGGACTCAACCGCGTCATCCAGGTACGGACGATCATCCGTCGCGTCTTCCTTCGCGAGATTTTCTCAGGGATGAAAACGGGGGATGTTTCATTAACGATCGCCAGGTGGTGACGACGGAAGACCTCGCGTTCGAGTTGGACAGCGTCTCCTCGAACACGACGACCGTGGTGGTGCCGATGCAGTCGAGCGACCTGGAGGGACTCATCTGCATGTCCACGCCCGGGTTCGCAGCGACGCTCATCGTGCTCCTCGCCATCCTCATCGTGTCGTGCCTCCTCTCCGCTTTCCTCTGCATCCGGTACAGGGCCTTCCACGAGCCGGGCCTCGTCGCCGCTTTCGTCAACCCGGTCTTCAAGAAGTCCCCGTTTTGATCCCGAATCTGCGTGCAAACCGTTTCTCCTCCTTCCTTTTTATTTTCATCCTTTCGGCGGTCTTTTGGGTTGGCGAAGAAAGGGGTACGGGACGGATTCACCGACCCGGGGCACTTTCACGTTTACAAACATTTGCAAAGAGTCTAATCCGTCCGATGAAAGCTCTTTTGTTTTCTTACCGGGAGAAACGATTTAACCCACTCGACAAGATCTGCACATCGTGAAAATTTTCTAAGAATCAAGTCGACATTTTGCATTTATTCGCAACGCTGAACGCGCCGAAATTTTCGCCACGAAATTTGCAGAGTGCGTCCAGTACTCCTCACCTCGCCAAACCCCGGGGTTTTTTTTTTATTTTGCTTCTGGAAAGCGACCCCGAAAGTTTTCAGCATTTGCCAGTCAGTCATGGGAGAAGCGAAATTTCCCCGAAAAAATTTCGCTCTGAGTGGCATCTAGTTAGATCGTGTTTCCACGGGATCTTCTTTTTTTCTACGATGGGTGCTAAGATATCCCGGCGGGAACCACGAAGAGTTGCAAACTCATCCTGGTTGCAAACTCATCCTGGTTCCGAATTTCCCCCCCAAACTTCCTCTGCCCCCGACAAACTTGAAGCCAAATCCAAGTTGTTTAGCTCAATTTATTTCATTCCTATTCGACCCTTCCCAGGCCTGGTTCGCTTCTCTGCCTTGTTTTCTTGTTAAGTTCTTGTTTTTTGTTGTTATTTGTTGCTGTGCTCAAGTGCCGAGAAAGTCGAGGGACTCAAATACCTTCCCCCGCAATGATGCAATTTTCATTGAGTTTGGCCTCCATCGTCTGCAGGGTTGGAGGAATTTTTTTGTTGACACCAAACTCAAGAATTTTTGCATCCCATCGGCATTCCTTCCGCATTTTTCGTTTCGGCACGAAACTTTGACATTGCGAGGAGCTTCATAAATCCCCATGCTTATTTTTGCTTCCCGAAAACAAGCGTGAATTTATGACAAAGTAATAAAAATATATATATTAGCATCCTCTGATACCTCAGAATCCAGGATGCCTTGATCTCGGTTAGGAATCCAAAATCCCGGGTTTCTGCAAAGGCGTATTTGCAAATGTGAGAGTGAGAGAAAGTAGACTTTTCACCCTTTCCCTCCTTACCAACTCTCAGTAGAGGTTTTGCAGTATTAGAGGTCCTTCACGCCGATATTCCGTGTTGCCAAAACGAGGGTATCCTTTTTTTGCAATGTTGCTTTATGTTCCTCCTCTTTTCATTCCGATGTTACCAGTTACTCTGTGGTCGATATTTTTTTTGTTTCTTGTTATGATATTATTTATTTTAATTAATTTATTTTTTTTCACCTTTTTCCACCCTCCCCCATGACAAATTTGCTGTATGAGTGTGCGGAAGTTACCAATTTTGTTATCGTGCCCGGCGATTTCCTGGACTTCCTGGAATTGAGGGGCTCCTGAGATTTCTTGCTCTTCCCTCTGCAAAAAGAAGAAAAAAAATTATTGTTTCATTTTGGCACGACCAGCCAACGTAGTGCAATTTCGACCTCGACTTCCTTTTTCGCACGAAGGAAAAGAAAGAGCAAGCAATGTCAAAAAGTTTTTTAAAAATAATTTCCTTCTTTGAATTTCATTTGCCCACGTGATACATGTATATGCATCCACGCATATTGTTGGACCCTTGTGATGTGAGCGATGCGATATACGTGTCATCCGAGCGAGTGCGAGCGTGAGATTGAGAGCGTGTCGCGGATCTTGAGTGGCCCGATCGTCGTGACAACGTGTGTGTATTTATTGTTTATAAAGATTAAAGAGAAATTTACACACGAATGATGCGTCGATTTACGTCGGTGAGACTTCAAGCTGCTCCAAGAAGTTATGAATAAGAAACAAAACAGAATATGACAAAGCAGGAAATATGAACCGAAATAGGAAAAAAAATTAATAAAAAAACTAACTAAAATAAATGCCAACAATAGTTTCAACTATATCAATAATGAAATGAAAAGGAGCAAAAAAAAAAGATATTAAAAAAATGCAGTTCAGTTTGTTGGTAACTTTACGAATCATTCCAAGGAGAATTATGTAAAATGTCCATATTAACAGTAACATCTCAGATCAATCTTGGCAGATGTGATTCTCCTGCTCCAATCAGTGTGACAAAACGTGTGTATTTCTTTTATTCATTAAGGAAGATTACAAATTTACTCACCCAGTCTCTTTCTTCAGCGAGACTCACGACAAGATTCAAACAATAATATTCAAGACAGATTGGACCAGATAAACACAAATTTCCTTTTTTAAAAATGTTTAAATAAAAATAAAAAATAGAAAATGAAAGGAAATAAAGCCAATCAAAACAAATAGTAACAAACAACAACAATTCGGTTTCGTAGCAACTCGGTGCTTCCTTCTAGCTCAAAAGAAATAATAGTGGAGATGCCGAGGCGAGAATGGAGGATGATGAGATCCTCGGACGGATGGTGCAGCCCGTGCAATCGACTGGTTGCCATCTCGGAGCTCCTTCACAAAGGGCCCGAGAACTTTCCTGCTGCACCTCCCGGCGACGGGGACACTCGGGTGCTGGCGGCGTTGGCACGGGGGCTCGGGATTCAGACACCCCCTAGGTTCCCAGAGCTACCTAAATCCGGGGCTTAACCCGGAGCAGGGGTCTCACCTGGAACCAAGGCTTCACCTGGCACCAATCACCTAACAAACTGACTCCACCGCGTTTCCCGTTGCCGCTCGTTCCCTCGTCCTCGCCGGAGTCGCCAGAGTCCTCTCGAGCTCACTTCCACTTCCTTCACTGCCGGCAGAAGAATCACAATGGACCCTCCGAGAAGGAAAACGAGAGCTGATTTCACTGGAATAGAAAAAGGATTTTTTCCTTTTTGAAAATCCCTTTTTCTTGGTTCATATTCGGTTCGAATTAAAATTTAAAAGAAAGATCAATAGCAATTTCGTGCAATTCGGCGATAGAATCTGCGACAAAAGTGCCCCCCTCCCAATTTGCCTGAGTTCCCATCCGGTCAGAAAACAAATGGGGAATCGGAACGGCGAAAACTTCCCCATACATTTTGAGCTGGAAACTTGCCATGTCGTAAAAGGAAAAAAATGACCGGGGAAGAAGGCATCGGCCTCGACCACTCCATTTATGGCTGTGGACAGACAAGGGCATGACTCGAAGAATCCTCATCGCGACATTCCTGCAAGCATTGGTCAGGGAATATGAAACTTTCGTCTTCGAAATCCACATAGGACTTTTTCCAGCCATGTTGGCTGATTTTACTCGTGGATGGCTCGCAAAAATGCATAAATATTTTTGCGAACTCGTTCATGGCTTGCACTTTTTGTTTAAAAAAATCGCAGATTCCAGGACTCATCTGGATGGGGGCACTAACTCATACGAGTTTGAAGCTTGAGTTTGAAGCCCTTCCAGTCATGGCTTTATCATTTTCAGAATACTTCTCTGAAGCTTACGTATTCCGTAAGTTTTTCCTCGACAAGAAAATATAGGTCACTATTTTATTTAGTAAAATGTTAAAATTTCAACAGCGAAATTGAACACTAAGAATGGTTGAGATGAATTCAGTTTTTGAGTTAATTTAATCCTCTATTAGACCAGTGTAAAAAAGACGTTTCACCTTTTATTATCGAAAAATTTTCAATCGAAGTTCAAATTTTCCCATTTTCCACTTTGCCCTTCCAACTGCCCTGCTAACTTTGCCCTTCGATTACTTTTGTTTGATTCCAGGTACGATTCTTCCTCAATAGGATACATGGGGTCATAAGTAACGTCGCGTCATTCTATTACTCTGAAAACCTAAATTTTATTTTTTGGGGAAGATTTTGAAAGTCAACCAAGAAGTGATGGCAGATTTACCTAAATCTAAATCGGTAAATCTAAAAATGCCTAAACCTTTTCATGCTCGAATAATGCATGGAAAATATTGGTTTGTGGATTTACAACGGGACGTGCATGCTTTGTAAATTTGCAAAATTATAAAATAAAATTATTTTAAGTTAACAAATATTGATTAAATAATATCGTGCGACTTCATCAGGTTCACTAGCGACAGAACATTTGTCTTCCACCGTTCGATTCTCGATAGCTCGATATATATTTTTATTTTTTTATTTGTAATATTTGCAAGAATACGAAGACAAATCCTGCGAGGGGAGTGTTTGAAAATTACTTGGTCCTCAAATTTGTGAAAATCCGAAACCTCTTTCGCACCTTCACGACCATAAATGTAATTCTAGTGTGAATCTCCTCGTTTATCCCATCGTGCCCGAAGGTTCCCTTTGGAACGACCGATTTCGAGAACGTTCCGAGCCTCATATGTTGATTTCTTCCGAACGATGGCTGCGTCAGCTCCACCACAGCAATAGATGCTGTTTAATGACTTGTTTCAATCTGGATTCTAGAATACATCGATGAGAACGAACTTACACGTTTTCAAAATCTGTGTAATTTAAAAAAAGATACAAACATTTTATCTTGTATAGTAAGCCCGAGAATCATGTGACGGAAGACGAGTGTTTTGTAAGTAGAAATGATGAAACAACGAGGTATTACTTCATATTTTTATAATTAAAGTTTTCCAATTAAATTTGGAAATTTTGCAAAGAATGCCCGTATTTCCTAAGCCGAACGAAATCCACAAAGCAATTTGCTCATTGGCGAATCAGTTCGTGGCAAAGTTTCTGAGGCCGTTTGAATAAAAAAGAAATTGAGAGGGTGTTGAGCCCGGGTGATTACTCACCCTTCCCTGGTGAGCACTCACCTTGGTCAACGTGGCATTTCTTTGGTCGGTGCGTCGCGAACAGGCCCGTTTCGTGCAGCATTTAGCAATCAACCCGTAATTAAGCATCCAGTAATTATGCATCTCGGTCTTTCGTCTCGAAAGGGTAAGAGCAAGATTTTCCAATTTTTCTCATCGCGTGATTGCCCACCCTTTCACTTTCTGCTTAATCGCGGGAGTCGTTTTGGTAGGAACGGTTTTTCCGCA